AATTGTCTTTACTTTGGCAACAGTACTAAATACTTAAAGTAAAATAAAGGTCCGAGTGAAATAAATTTTATTCGTCTTGTTGAACATTTTTAGGTACATCCTAATTACTCTTCTGTCAATTTGTACACTAGCTTCTAAACACTATGCATCTTCTAATATTTAATAAACCATTAAGGCAGTTTATGTTATCCGAGAGCTTAAAAACCAAAAAATTTTTTTGTTTGTTATCTACATGTACAAAATGTTCTATAAATCATACACCGATTTAAATATGGTTTTATTTTTGATCAACTGACTCCGACCTATACTTGAATCGTGCGTATCGAATGTCAAACGAATGACATCACTGAAAACAAAGTGTTGAAGAGTCAACTATCCAAAAATACATAAAAACAGCGCTGAAATGACACGAAGTATCGTACTAACTGTTTTAAGATTTAACAATCGAATTTACTTTTACTGTAAAGTATAACTGGCTTATATACTTACAAAATTCTGCCAATATCTTAACATCGTATAGATTGGTCAACTTAAACACACAAAACGCTAAAAGGAATTTTGTTTAATTTTAAAATTGATGTGCGATGGATGTTACCAGAGCGTAGAGTTTCCTCAATAAAAATACGAGCTATAAATTTTGCTTAGGACTTTTACAATGAGTATTCTGTACCATTTAACATGTATACCAATAACTTTAACTTGTTAGCTAAATTCTAAGGACACGAGAGTTGTCTATACTTATCTATCTTTATTTATCTTTTTTCTATGTATAATGAACTTCGTTTATAGGAATTCTTCAATTTGTCGGCTGTGATGAGGGTCGTGTGTCGTGAGCGCAGACACAGCCATATGAAGTTCACGTGAAACGTGGCTTGACATTTCGGAAGCGAACAGTATTCTTTGGCTTTGATCTTTCACGACAAAATCCTTTGTAACATTTTTATATTATTTACCCTAATCACAGAGTAACTTAATTATCTTGTCAAATGATAATAGAAAACACAATACATCAATAGAGGAGAAAGAGAGGAGACTAAAATAAGACGGTTATATTTCCATATATCACCGATAAATTAGTCTATTTAAGAAAACATATTAACTACACTAATATTTATTTAACGATTAGGTTATAAGGTTCAATAAATTAATGTAATATTTGTTAAAAACACAATGGTTTAAAAAAACTTCACTATTCATAAATTAATAAATAAGTAAATAAATAAACAAATAAATATTTTAACAAGTTAAAATTTGGGCATCGTTATGGTGCAGAAAATTCTGCAATTTTATTTTATGAAGAGAGGACTTTACAATGTTTGTATATGAAGTAATTCTGTGTGGTATTTTCACAGGCTCCCTTTGTCAGCAGCACGTCAACATTGCGTTTTCAGCCAAAAGCTAACAAAAGATCGGACAGTCATATTACACACACGTTTAAATATAAAAAAAGGATTTTTAAAACAAAACCGTGACGAAGGTCTTTGAACAAAAAATAGTTTAAAACGACATCATTTTTTAAATCCAGTAAACTTAATAAATTACCAGTTCCTCAAGAAGGCGCGAACACTGGGATGACAGAAGATAGATTTATCCAGAAGACGAAAACGTGGATCATATGTGCGTGGTGGCGGCGTCACGTACGTGAGTGAGATAACCTCAGAGAGATGATTACTTAAAACTGTGTTTTCAAAAGCCGCGAAAATTACTATTAAATACCTATTATGATCTTAAAGCTGATTAAAACAAACTTAAAGTTTTTCTATCAAAATAAGCTTCACTCTTCCAGTAACATCGACGGGTCGTTTTAACTTTACCTCTAAGGTATTATAAAATCCCGATAGGTCTCACCCTGCCTCACCCCCGACAGCATCGATAGCGTTGACTTATTATATTATCCTGTTATTCTCAAGAAAATACCGACGTTAAAATTATTTTAAAACATTAAGTTTCAATTTTTACAAAGTTCTTTAACGTTCGGTGCTTTGGGTTATAGTTTTTGGCGCCATAATTTCTACATTAAGGAGCAAGCATTGATTGTGAAAATATTGTGAACTCCTTACTTTTTCTGTGTTTCAATTATTAAAAATTAAAATCTTTTATCGCTACTCACGCTTTTGTATGTCGAGTAAATATATTAAATAATGCAATTTCCCCAATAATTTTGTTTCCCGAAAGAAACCATTGTAATGATATTTTTATCTTCGATACAAAACAATTTTTCATCTTGATATTAAAGGATTCAATAACATTAGCCCGAAGGGCACTTTTATTATGTTACGATCATCTCAACATGAATCCTTGTAATTTTACAATGTGCTTTCTATTTTATATAACAAAGAAGCTTGCGGTCACCAGAATTCCCTGAAATACCCAAGCGACTGCTGCCCTTAGTCACCTGCTATTGTAGATACATTACTTAACTTTAATAGTAGAGAGAGAGCCCTTTCCATCATTTAATTTTAAGATAAGTCTGGAGAAGGAAAGTGGTCTAAAATTAGGTTTCCGACACGCAAACGCTTGATAGACGAAATGCGGAATCACTTCCACTTCACGCTTACTTTTGTGAAGTTGTGGGATTGCATCAAGCGAGTAGAACCTAGTTATGGTAGACTCTATCACTGTTAGTGTTTCTTCTAAAACGTTGATAATTTTTGTTCTCTTTGATCTGATTTTATATTATACGTCAAAGTTTAATATCAAAAATGTAATTAAAGCCAATTCCTCGCACTACGGGAGCAATATGAGCGGAACATGTATTTTATGTTTCGCTTTTATTAATATTTCAGCCGTTTTATTGGTCGATATGAAATTGGGTTCCGAGTTCCTTGCTATTCTTTTTAACTAAAGAGTAGAGTGAAATTTCGTCGTACATATTCGTGGAAAAATTGAATAATTTTTGCACGTTGTTCATTAAATGTTTAAGTTAGTGTACATATTGTAAGGATTTTCATTTATTTTATTTATTAATGCATTTCGACTTTAACGAGAAATATGATGGACGGATACAAATAGCAAATCCATACAAACCACATACACTGGCACCGTACAACAAACAGCCGAAGGCTACCACAAAACTCCGGGGAGGCGATTATAAACTGCGACGTAATCCTTTACGAGTGTCGTCATGGCCGTGGACACAATATTGTAGCGGAGCGTCGACGCTTTCTGAGGCCTAATTCCCCGTGTGACAGCATCACTGTGGCCCACAATCCACAATCGCCTCACATGACGTCATCTAACATCCTCGTAACGAAGCAACTAAGCCCATTCCCATCCAGCTAGTATAGAACTTCAATAGCAGAGTGCAAAAACGTTCCGTCACAAAAAAATCAAACCTCTATTTGAGTTTTGCATGTAAAAGTTTATCTATCAAACCGGACGTAGAGTTAACATAATCGGTATGAAATGAAGAACTTGCTAGGCAAGTCGGCACTGAGAGTGTTAACTTAAAAACAGACGAAAAAAATTAACATTCTTTGCTTGTGACGGAAAAAGTTTAACTGTGCTAAAAATGCAAGAAACCGAATTACAAAAGCCCATCGTGTGAAGTTAATCTAAGTTATTTAATGTTATTTATGTTATCGTTACCGCAAATACGAAATACATGTTTTAAAAGTAATTCGAATACAGATGAGAATCTCGCCGGCCAAAGTAAAAGAAACCAAAGTTATGTAATTTATCATATGATTGTGTTTACGAAACAGAGAAGTTTAATGTAGACAAAGGAACGGAAAAATGCGGAATTACAATACAAATTAGCTTTAGAACTTTTACTTAAATATTCAAACCGAAAGATAATAGCAATCATTATTGTGGTAAAATGTTATGCAAAGTATTATCTGATTGTTATTAACATTAAGAACGGGCGCATCTTTGACTAAACAATCGTACAACAGTTGTGCGATTGTCGATTGTTTTAGTTGCACAACTAAACAGTTGAATTGTGTAGTAGTGTGTGTGTGTAAGCTGATAGGAATAAAAGCGAGACTAAACAGTTGTGCGATACTTTAGTCAAAGGTGCGCTCTAATTATCTCATAGAACATCGCAACGTGTAACTAATTAAATAAGGTAACTTTTTTTACAGTCAAATCCAGTGTAGTTAAGCTCATTATCAAGTTAAGTACCTTTAACTGAAATTTAAATACAAGTATTTTAGGTTCTATGGACTTATACAGCTGTTGTTAAGTTATTCCGATTATATGTGGATTTGAACCTCGGATTATGACTCACAATAGATGATACTGAACGACACCTCAGGGTCATGCGAGGCAAATGACAGGGAACAGTTTGAATATGTGGGAAATGTTTGTGTAGTAAACATTCATCTGACATATAACTACAGTAATTATGCATGAGTTAACAAAATGGTCGAAGTGGAACGTATAATATATATAGGTATCTCTTTTATTTCAGAACGGATAAGAGAGATAACCCTATGTTTTTTTACAGTGAAAATCCAGAGTAAAAGCTTGTATTAATAAATCCATATTCAAAATAAACAAACTAAAGCACAAACAGTTGTTTGATTTTATAGTTCTCCTGAAAATACTGAAAGTGAAATAATTTTCTATTTCTCTTTTATAATGAAGCCAACTCTATTCTTTGTTTTCTTTTTTTGTAATGCATATGCTATAATTTTTAAAACCTCATTTTTCTCTCTTCATACGCATTATATGAATTTTAAAACCGCAACTCGAGAATTAACGAAAAATAAACTTATATTACCTACTTTAATATTTTCATAGATTAACGTAAAGGCATTTTTTATATCCAATATCTTACCTATAATTATTCTTACTCAATAATAAAGGAATAATTTTATTATTAAACATAATAATATAAAACAAAAGAACATTATTAAAATTTGTAACTAATTTTCAAGATTTTATTAATACTACTACTGTATTTTCTTTCATATCTCCGAATACGATGACTCAAAGCGAACCAATAAAGGGTCTTAATTAAAATATTCATCGTACAAAGGGTAAACTTTACTCACCGACAACAAAAAATCCTTTTCAAATATTAATAACAGGTAATAATTATCTATTTAAAACTGTATCTCACTGCACTATCCCGTGTCACATGCCACTTAACTGTATGAGCGTTTACGATAGGACCGAAATGATTATTTTCGTACGAACTTATAGAGTAGGGAGCGCACGTCCACCCCTCGCGATGTTCAAACGAAACTGATGTATTCTGCTGCAGAATGGCCAAGATTCGAGTCTGTGTATTCAACCATGAAACTTGGCGATGCATAAACTGACAAATAAATTATAGATTTTTATTGATAATGGCTTGAACTTTGATCCGACCTCCATGTTTGCGAGATTTTTCATATAACGGCGGTTCGCGGTTGAGCTTTTATAAACAGCCGGTTGATGTTTGTAATAAAATAAACAATTTAACAGATAGATTGAAATACTTCCGTTTTATTCGTTTTCAGTTCTACGTTTGATGGATATATTTTTGTCTGTGGAGTGATAAAGTTCTGGTCAAATTTGTGATAGGTATTTATATATAACTAGCTTTTGCCCGCGACTCCGTTCGTGTGGAATTAAAAAAAACAACAGTGAAAGCCTATGTGTTCTTCCAGACTATGTTCTACAACTATGCCAAATTTCACCTAGATCCGTTCAGTCGTTTAGGCTACAAACTCTAACAAACATCCATCTAAACTTTCACATTTATATTAGTATAATGATTGTTAACTGAATATTCAATTTGAAATTCGATAGTAAATATTAAGGACATTTTTACAAAGGTTTATTACAAGTTATTTTAATATTTAATTATTTATATTAAGATATTTCTAAGAACATGTGATCTGTGTTATTGTTACACACGATTCGTCGAAATTAACTATTTTCTTAATTACTGAAGCTTTAATTAGGAATGTTGTTTTATTAAATAAATAAATAAAACTCGTAAATAATATGTAATATTATCTCAGCACGTTGATATAGTGTTCATATAAAATAAAGTAACAATTTAGTACGGACAGTTATTAAATTTTAATTAATTCACGATTTTCTCAAAGTATAGCTTAGCTTATATCTATATCTCTACTTGAAGCTCATAAAGCTGGGTACGATTTTGATCCGTTTTAATTAATATCGACAAAATAAAAACACTTTATTTCCAACGTAACGGGATTAATGTTTCAAAGCTCTTTGTGGTAGCGCTTAATTATATGTTAATGTTTACTTTGTGTTATGTTATAGCTTAAATTAATATAAAACCTGAAAAAAGTCAATTAAAAAGATTGATAGAATTTTAATTTTTTTACCGGACTAACTAAAAAGTGTCAAATAAAAATGTAACAGTTAATATTGTTAAAAATCTTATTTACTAGCTTTCGCCTGCGACTCCGTCTGCGTGATATTAGAAAAAAAAAACAAAACTAAGTAGCCTATGTATTCTCCCAGACTATCCTCTACGTCTATGACAAATTTAATCGAAATCCGTTCTGTAGTTTAAGCTACAAACTCTAACAAACATCTAAACTTTCGCATTTATAATAGTATAATTGTGTTTGAGTTTCTAATTCAAATCTTGTTTAGAATAAATTCAAAATAATAAAACTAGAATCCGTTGCAGGTGCAGGACCTTAATGTAAGAAGTTCGTTTAATTAATTCAAGAACAAGATGGATGGTACAAAGATGCAATTTAGAGAAAACGCAATTTCTACTAAATTAATCCAGTCGGTACTCGAGTCTCATCGGGACATCATATCGATCCATTTGAAGTCTCACCAAGACATTCGCTAACACCGCAGAGAAGATATTGAAATACGTTTATTTGCGGCCCTTGCTTGTTTTTTATGCTCCATTACAAAATGTTGGAGCCTTTTTTATGAGAATGGTTATCATGTTTTTTTTATAATACACTTGAGCATGTAAATAAAATTGATAGCTTACCTGTCCTTGGTTTTGATTATAGTAATTTAAATAGTCACTTTAGGAATCCCACAGAACTCCAACCACTGACCTCTTTAAATGGATAGGATAAAAGCTGTACTTTGTCCCTATTTGAATTGCGCGATCTTGAAGCTGATATTCGCGGTTGGTAGCGCCATTATCATGAACAACCATTATAATACAATGACCTATCCATGTACAAAAACTTTTAAATTCGAGAAAAAGTATTTTTGCCACAGGATAACCACACGGTGTCAAAATGAATTCAAACAAAAGACACTCGCATACGCCATTGACCATCTGGCTTCTGTTTGCACTGCCCTGTGGCTCGCAGGTGTGTCGTACTTTGTACTGTCACTATACAAATTCCTCTTCGACAATTTCAAAGGTTGAAACTAGTAAAATGTTTTTGAAATATGATAAAATTCTGCAACTTTTTGTATTCTAAAAGTGCACGGTTACGTCAAATAACGACGATATTTTGTTAAAACCCGACAATCTTTTAAATTCCGTGCCTCCATTTATACATGGCGCACCAATCTTTAAAAATCGTCCTTTGAGTTTTCCCTGATATTGGCTTTCAGCTAGAGTAACCTGAAAGTGGATGAAAAAACTCTTTGAAATCTTTCACGCGAAACCGTAATAAAAATACGTTTATTCTAGGTAAATAACTTTTAAAAAAATCTTTTTCATTGCATGCCAGTAAACAAATTTCTGATGCGTGCGGTAATTTAGCTCTATTAATAATATACCTATTAATTTTGCCTCCAATAGCGGGAATAAGAAAATAGTGACATGATTGCAACAGTTCGACATTTGGTTAACAAACAGAGCCTCTCATTACGTATTCATGAAAACACATTTAAATAAAGCGGCAGGATACAATGTAAATTTTACTATTCCCTCTACGCACATAAAGAGGTGTTAGCAACGGGCCCGAAATAACCCTAGGCTAACAAAGACTGCACTCACACGGCCATTTTACAACCAAGACGCCAAACATTCGATCTAACGTTCCAACATTTGAGCCAACATCGGTAAAACAAACGTTTGGTCCAAATGCGGGTAGCGTTTGGCGAAGTGCCAATAGCCATGAATCATCGCACGCGGCGCAAACCTAGGGCTATTTGTCAGCATTACAAGACCGACTTCAACATGTCAAGTCGCCTACGTACAAGTAAATATTAGCATGCCGTACGATATTTTCTAAGACTTTTTTACGGCTGTATTATAAACTAGCTATTGCTCGCGATTCCATTAGCGTGAAATTAAGAAAATAACAAAAAAATATTGCCTTTACTCACTGATAACGTAGCTTTTTAATGGTGAAAGATTTTTTAAATCGCTTCAGTAGTTTTTGAGTTATTTCGATACATGCAAAAATACAAATCCTTCCTATTTATAATGTTACTATAGATTCACTTAAAAAAGGATAACTATAATATTGTTCTGAGATATTACAATTTACTTGAAGTAACCATCCGATTTTTTTACTTTTTATTTAAATATCAGTAGATTTTTGTGAATTTATTTATTTCTACTACTATGTCTACTAACCTCTTGGCTTGTACTAGGAAGTGGTTCACGACAATAGTCGAATAGCGGAGTTCGAACCCCCGATCGCAAGATCGGCAGCATGTATTTTTAACCATTACGCTATTGGCGCTTAAATCAGAACTGTATTTTAAATTGCAACTACAAATTCCAAAAATATTTATTATCTAAATGACAGTTAAAATTGGTTTACTAACTGCACAAATAATCATAACATTCCATTCATTTATGTTACCATCCAATGAATACGTAAAAACAAAACGAGATCGCGATGTGCGCAATTTCTGCCTGATTGTGATGTTTTGATGCATAAAAAATGTTGTTTTATGTTCGAAAAAAAATAACACATTTTGCTATGCTGTTGGAGAATTTATAGTAATAATTGATTGAAGTTTTATTTTGATTTACTTATACAATTTTAATGATCCTTTACTTTTTTATAATTGAAGTTATGAATAGTATAAACAATTATTGTATCAGACATTCAGAAGTAACTTGTGCATCCATAAAACACATGAGTTTTTCATAATTCCTTTTGTCCATTCATCTTGAACCCATTTAGCCTAGCTTCTAGAGCTAAATTATAAAACCTTTTAGCAAGCAGGAAATAATAAATCTGAAACACGTTTGCGGTAGAGTCATAATTTCTAGTATAACAACATTAAGGAGATCTAATTCACTTTAAAGGCTAGATGTCCCCACGTAGCGCAAACGAATATAATTATACATCACCTGCGAGCTCTGAAAAATGTCTACAAAGGTTAACTCTACAATTTGCGTACAAAATTTAATGTTTGAGACACATATTCTTTGTCTTATAGGGTGCCTTAATGTGTTCTTGCACGTGACTGAATAATTAGAAGTTTTAGAGCGGGTACATCATTGACTAAATTATCGCACAACTGGGTGATTGTCGATTGTTTTGTAGCCCATTCAAATATTTAGTTGCATGATTATAAATCGAGTGGTGTTTGCATATAAATATACGCTTATAGGAATCAAAACGAGAGTAAACATTTGTGCGATAGTTTAGTCAAAGGTGTGTGCGCTGTTATAGTTACAGTAGGGTTGATTATTTTGAACGTAGAATAAGAATTATAATTTTTATAAATAAGCTCAAGAAGTGAAGATTCGGATCTTATTCTAATTAAGTCTTTTAAAATCCAGAATATTCTTTTATTATCTTAATAATAATTTTTGAACGGTTCCAGAAAAAACGAACTTTGTAATGGTCCATTTTCCAATATGCTTAGAATGAAATTCTTTCAGAGACTACACAGTACACTATAGTGCATATTGCACCAGTACATAGTATTACAGGCTATATGTATTTAAGTAGCAGACAACTTTAACTAAGAAACTACTTTATATGCAAATGAAATCCTATGTTTTAACATTAGATTGCAAATGTTAACAACGGTATTACACTGTAATTAAATTTGGCTTTATTAGTAAGACGTTTTTATATTAAACAACAATATATAATTAGGTTTAAAATAAAAACTATAACAAAATACATCTTTCAGTTTTAACTGTGCAGTTCGACTCTACAGTCATAACTGAAGGTGTCTCGAGGACTTTATAATAATCTTTAGTTCACAATAAAGTTGTCTAGTAAAATTCAACTTATTACTTTAACTTGTACTGTATAAAAATAATAAAAAGACAGCGAACAGTGTAGAGTATGTGGTTTGAC